TGGTTTCTGATGGTTCCTTCAATTCATCTTTTTCATTTTCTTCCTATAGAAGTTGCAAGAAAATACCAGTACTTCAGTTAATGTGCCAAACTCAGGTTTCAACACTCCTGTGAAGGGTTACCAGCCTTCCCTATCAAATCAGGTAAGCTAGTTTATGTCAGAGTATTGTTATTTGGTTCTTTGATATATGTATTTACTGCCCAAATAATTTTTTGGTTTGCAGTTCTCTGGGCAATACACTGTTGATAGATTGGAAGGAGTTGAGAAATTGATTTTGGACTATTTGCAGCAGCCAGCATTGCTGTAAGAGATATTTAAATGCTGATCCTAGTAAAATGTTCCCCCCCCCCAAACAACACACAAAAAGCTTGCATTGAATGAGTAGGCATGGATAAAGAAGGACAAAAGTTTACTCAAAATGTCTACGTTGCTATTGGTGTTATCAAAGCAATTGCTATTGTAGACTGGCCTGAGTTTATGGTACCTAACCACATAAAAGTGAAAGAGTTATATTTTTTCATTAGGAAAAAGTAGTTATGTAGAAGATGTGAACTTCTGATTTGATGCCTAATTAAGACCATAGAAATTCAAATTATTTCATGCGTGCTGAACTTTAGAAATGATTAGAATTGCAATGTCGATCTGCTTTTGGCAAAGTCATTGTTTACGGTACGTGAGTGATAACAAAATCTTAACTAAGTCATTGAAAAAAAAAGTACTATGATATTAGATTGTATGCTTCTTGGGTGAGTAGGGTATATTATATGTGTTTTCTTTCAGAAACAGACTTTTGGCTCCAAGATTGATTTTTTTTTCCTTCTATCTGTGTTTTGCTTTGGAGTTGACTTCTTGTAACTCAAGATCTCTAATGTCTCAGTGAAAGTGTGAAGGGGGCCTCACGCGATGAAGCATAGGTCATGCGTGATGCCAAGATTTGCATATGATGGCCAAAATGAAGTCTAGTTTGACCATTCTTGCATTTTATAGAGTTCAATTTCCTTCCCCTTTCATGCGTAATAGTAATATTGAAAAATTGAAAAAGTTGGTCTGCGTACTAGACATTAGAAACTTCTTTTTACTCAATAAGCTTCATATGTGATGATAAATTACTCATAACTGCTCAATAATTTTTTGACGTAAATGTTTTTTTTCTTTTTTTGAGTACTGACATCTCTTCTGCTTAATGCATACCACAACTATACGGGATCATGTTGTATCATTTTGTTCTGCCTCTTCAGGCTTCATTTTCATAATATAATATTCTTTTTGTGACTAAAAAAAAGCGGTTACTAAGTCAAGCTTATTCCATCAATGCAGTTTCAAGTTTGTAGCGGCCATCATCTTCGATTCCATTTAGCGAGCACGGATTGTTGATTCCCTTTCCACTTGAAGCAAATTGGAGTTGTTGGTAACCAAAATTATACATTAAGTTTCTGCTACTCTTAGGTTACCAATACATTAAAGTTCGTGGCAGTTATTTTCAGTTGGGTAGAACTTCTATTGCTGATTAGTTTGGTTGCTAATATTTTGTCAAAGTTCTCTATCTCAAATTGATATTGGCTACATTATTGGACTAATTTTGAATTCCGTAGACTGTTATTCTTTTGTGCCTAGCATCTGTTTTATAGTTTGTGTGTTACAATCTGGAATTGAACTTTTGCTGTCTTTCCTTTTGATATTATTCTGTTTTGATACTTTTGGATTAGTTCTTATTACTCAAATGTCTAGAACACCTGGATATGTGAACATTCTGTTCTGATATGTCTAGAACACTTGGATTGGTGCTAACATTCTGTTTTGATACTTTTGGTATCTTTACTTTAGAAGATATTCCGTGAGTGATTTGTGGTTAGAAATTTGGATACTTGGATTCATGTGGTTAGAAATTTGGATCCAACTGTTGAAGTTGGTGACATACCTTTGGGATCACATTGGTGTGAAATTCATGTGAATGTGCCTGTGGAGAATGATGAAGAGCTAATGAGGCCATACCATAATTTTCTCAAGATTGGAGATGCAATTGGAGTAGCTATTGCTTGGCCAATAAACCTGGTAATCTTTTTATCTTATCTTTATCATTTGGTTAACTTAGTTTTTATTTATTTTCTAACATTAAAACTGTAAAAGAAGAGCTGTAGATGTGATTGTAACTTCTATTTCTTGGTTTATGACACTTGTAGGTGATTCTTGAAGAAAACTAAAGGATCGTCCTTGGGTCAAATGGCTATTTTCTGAAGACATTGTCAATGCGTTTTTTGTTGAGTTCTTGTTGAACTATTGCTTCTTTGATATGTATTGGCAATGCTACTGTAATACTCATAACTTTTGAAAAATCTCTGAATTGGTATGTAATTTGTTGACATAGCAGCAATGTCAGTTCCTTGGATCGATGCAGTACTTTTGCACCATTTTGGCTACTTGTATTGCAGTGATTACTATGAAAATGTAAATCGCCTTGGTTTTCCTTTATAAGGTGGTAGTAATAACTTTATTAGTCCAAAAATTAGAATCTATATTGTGTAGGCAGGATGAAATGTGATTCTGCTTTTGGGTATAAAACCTCGGATGGGATACAGGGCTAATGCAATATGATGTATTGACACTTAAAAGTGTCACCACTTCGAGTTTTGCGGTTCATAATATTCACAAAATTTCATGTTAACAAGTGTCAGAACAATCTAATCTAGTTACACCATGAAAGTGTCATAATATTTCATTCTACTTATACGGCAAATGTGTCATAATATTTTATTGTACTTACATAATAGAAGCGTCATGATAGATCCAATATATGACAGGCATCGAGTATCACTTTAGATTCATATAACTTTAACTGTTCTCTAGCATTTCTTGTCATTTAAAAGTGTCATTAAAACGATAAATAATAACGTTTATAAATGCCAATAGAACTACAAATTAGGACTCATATAACTGTCATGAACTTATAGTGACGCTGGAATGGACGACGTTTCTAGCAAAGCGTCATTATAGATCAAACGTCATTACATCGAGCTATAATGACGCTTTTAAATGTCATAAAATGACATTTTTGTAGTAGTGAAAGATACTCAATTTGTTATCTCGCGAGTCGGTTCGATTATATATATATTATTTTAATAGTAAAATTACATATATCTTCATAATATTTTATTATTTATTAAAAATTATTACAATATAAAGATCAAACTCGAACTCGATTCAAATTCGAATTGAGTTTGAGGTTAAAAAATAATTATTATTTTATTTATTTTTAAAAAATAAATAATAATCGTTTTTTTAACCTCGAACTCTATTCGAATTTGAATCGAGTTCGAGTTTGATTTTTATATTGAAAACTCGTCGAACTCAAATTTAAGTTCGAATTTAATAAAATTAAGTCGAGATTCGATTCTATTAGATTAAAATTCGATTTTACTCGACTCGTTTGCGGTACTAGCCTAGATCTCAATCATTTGAAGACTATTCCAAATGCCAACGTGCACAATTTACTACTAATTAGTAGTTGTAATTGTTTAGTCACAAGCAGGAAAAGTTTTTTTTTTTTGTAGGCTGAACATTGCAGCAAAGCAAGATTATACAATCTTAGATTCACAAACATGACGAAAGGGAATATGTCACTCGATAACCAAGCCAACGACACAAGGACAATGACAAGGTACACATTACCATGCATGCATGGGACCCGAAAGCACACTCGAGAAATCCTGATGAGTCAGCTGTGTACAGAAAACTACATGTGACGGCTTTCTTTCCTCTCTTGGAGACTCTTCATCAACCTAATCAACCTAATCAACCTAAGGTAGACTAAGTGCTTAGGAAAGTCTGCACAGGGTGTGTGGTTTTGGTGACGTGTAAGTTCAGGATTTGCTGAAATATTATCGTCCTTCATGCGCTGCTCACGTGACCTGATGGTTGGAAATTGGGATGTGAATTCCGTTTGTGAGCCACCGAGTCTTTTGCTCATCCAACGGTTCCAACCCACTAAAGAGTGATAATAGTAGTAATAGTCCTTTTTCTTTTTCAAACAGACTGGTTGGGGCCTATTTCTCTTTGCCACCTTACCTAATATCAGCTTTTTTGGTCACAGCTATTGGATCAGAACCATCTTTTATCTCTCCCTCTTCGTTCATCCTCTCTCTCTCTCTCTGTCTCTGCTTCTCTTCATTTCTTCATCTCCGACGAGAAAGCCCCTTTTCTTCTCTTTTTCTTTATCTTTGTCTTCGTCTTCTGATTGAGAATAATGATAAGCCAAAAATGATGGTATATATATATATATACTTTTAAAGGTTCTTGTTTCTTCCTTTGCAGAACTTCTCTAGCCCTCATTTTTTTCCCTTTTTTTTTTTTTAAATGGGTTGTAGTTGTCTAATTTACATGTTTCTGATGTTGCGGGTGACAAATTGGAAATTACTTCCTGCAACCTGATGAGATCTTGCAAGTCTTTTGTTTCCCTTTCTAAAGTGCATTCTGTATGCTTAAAAGTTTTGATTCTTCTAATTCCTCCACTTTCGTATGCCCGGGTTCTTTTGTACTTTTATTTTTTTTACATGAAACCGTAAGGGGTTAAGTGGAATTTTGAAACCTTAGTAGAATTATGTGGCAATAGATGAAATCACAAGGGGTTATTAGTAATTTATCTTATCATATATTGTGCAAAGAATTGTCTATTTTCAAGTAAGAAAATAGGAATATTTCAGACCTGATAATTTTGAAAGTTACAAACAACTCCTAGTCACTAGTTTGCCCATATCTATCTTAACTCTATCCTTTTCTCCTATATTTTAGGTATTTCTATCCCCTGATTTAGCAATACTTTTGCGAATATTTAAAATTCCGAGTAATAAAAATTAAGAATTAAGAGAGTTTTAGAATTTCTGCAATTTTTAGGGATACCAGTCTCCATGACATTGCCAGAATCCTTTCAGGTATACACACCATCAAACCATTTTATAATGAGATGCTTTACTTAATAGTGACGACAATGATTTATGAATGCATGATTTATGGTGAAGACTGAAAAGTATTTAATTTAGCAAAAATATAGTAATGCCAAATCCATATTTAGGATTCTCTTTGGCTTAACTCAAACATTTAGAAGCCCTACGTACTCTTATCAAACATGCAAACACTAAATTTATCCATGAAAATCCCCTATTGAAAAACAAGGAAAAAAGACAAACAAATCTTACTACACTAATCTACAAGTTTGACTCAGCTTAGTAACCTTTTCCAGCGTCTTCAACAAATGCTTTTAGATTCTTGTCCGATGATCCACCTTCTTGCATTGCCTCCCTTGCCAATTCTTTCCAGTTCATAGCATTCCTCCTCAATTCAATCCCTTTCGCCCCATCATCCATCACTGTCTCTATACATCTTTTGATCTCATCACTCTCAACTGTGCCATCTTCATTAGGTATAACCCTCACACCTGTTTCCCAAACATCTTCTATCAACTTTGCATTGGTTCCTTGATCAGTCCAGTGAGGAAATGCGATCATCGGCACCCCACAAACTAGACTCTCCAACGTCGAGTTCCATCCACAATGCGTCACGAAACATCCCAATGAAGGATGTGTCAGCACCTCAATTTGAGAACACCATGGCACTATCATCCCTTTCTCTTCCAATTCCTCCATGCAACTCAGTCTATCTTCTTCTTTCTCTTCTTCTCCATCTTCCTTCGCTCTTATCACCCACAAAAATGGCCTTCCACTCTTCAACAAGCCACTCGCAATCTCCTCCATTTGTTTCTTAGGCAGCCTCAGTAAACTGCCAAATGATACATAAACAACTGAGGCAATAGGCCTTGAATTCAACCATGCTTTGTAATCTTTTGACTTTTGGAAAAGATCACCGCTGAAGGAAGTTTCTGATGGATCTTTCCCATCCAAGAATGCCGAGGGAGTCAAGGGTCCAATAGCAATCAAATTATAGCTCTCAATAGCTTTGAGAGCTTGAGGCTCTAGTGCATCAAACGTGTTGACAAGTACTTTTGGCTTTTCTTCTTCATCCAGTGTTTCAAGTTGCCTCTTGAAAGTTGGAAGAGCAAAACTGTAGATAGCATCGCTAGAAGGTAGCATAAAGGAAGGAAGGTCCGTGGTTTTCATCGATGGCAGGCCTGGAAACTGAATTGACCAAGTGGGGTCACTGCTGTTATTCTTCACATCATCTTCATAGCCATGGAAGTAATAATAGTATATGTCCATGACGGTGGCTGGTTGAATCCAGAGAAGGGCAGATGGGATGTGACATTCATGAGCCGCCGTGGCGGCCCATGGAAGTAAAAGAGTGTAGACCAGGCACGTTACCGGGCGGCCTTGGTCAGCACTAGTGTTGATGACATTTCTTAGGGTATTTGATCCTTGTTTCTCGATGCCAGACATGTATTCAGTGGGATCTACACCCTTTGGCTGGAATCCGTCATCGTAACCATCTGAAAAAGGTGCAAAACTCAAGCCTTTTGGGATACTGCCGGAGAATTTCGTCATACGGCTGAGGGCGAAAACGCTGGTGGCAAAGGTCACTTGTACGTCCATTCTTAGGAGTCTTTTGGCAAATTGCAAGGATGGATTAATGTGGCCTTGGGCTGGAAAAGTTACAAGGAGAACATGTCTTTGTTCCACCATTTTTAGCAGCTTCTTGATTTTTCTTCTGGGAATTTAAGCCAAGAATTTATTGAAGGTGGGAGCAGATTAAGATATGAACAATGGTATGAAGAAAATTTGAAGATGGTGATAATTATGACTGCAGGAACGTGTGATTGTGATTTTGAGATGGGGATGGCTAAGTTGTGTGTAGGATGCATCTGAGTGACGTTGTTATATACAGCTTGTGTGGATAACAAGAATTGTTGCCCAACGACGTTTGTGGTGACGATTTGGAGAAAAGCACTGGACATTTTTGTTTTGTTCTCCTAGGAAATAATTGAGAGGGTATTCATAGTATTAATCCTTTGTCAAATATCATCGTACTGATTTTTCTTCTTGACTTGCCTTGACAAATCTTGTGTCTTGCTACCTGATAAATCTATGGTTACTTCCCATGTGTTTTTTTTTTTCTCAGAACAAAATTTGAATTGATTCGGCTCTGATTACTACCACGATTTAGAGCATGCTTTCGAAACTATAAGAGATTTACAAGAGTTTTTATAAATAATTCACCAATACATTTTTCATATTGATAATATGATTTAAACACACCAACACATTTCTCACATCGATAACGTGATTGAGACACATAATTTTTTTTAAATATATACTTATCAATTGAATCAAACTTGTGTTACACTTCCTATAATATTCATGTGTACAAGACAAATTCTGAACGCTCACGCATGACGTGGACTGCACATCGATATCGTGATTGAGACACACGATTTTTTTTAAAGTATGTTATTTATGTGTACAAGACAAATTCTGAACACTCACGCAGTACGCGAACTGTTTCAGGTCCTTGGGTTATGTAACTTGAATACAGCTGTGCCAACTTGTGCGGTCCAAATTTGAAAAGTCATAGAGTTCCCTTTCTCTTACGGATTTCGAAAGCTTACTTGGGCGAGACAAAGAAGTGGAGACCTAAATCTATGACTTTTTTGGCATTATAATCATGATTATCTCAGTAGTATATATAAAACTGATTTTTTTTATATGGATTGACAATTATTCGAATAAAAAAAGATTGTTTCATTTCAAAATATTGGACTAATTAATTACCAGTCTAATAAGATTAATCTTTTCATTGGTTCTAATTTACTGTGGAAACCATTGTCAGTTTTCCATCCTATTTAAGTATTCAACCAGAATTGAAGTAGTCCTCCATTTTCGTTTCCATTAATCTTCACAAGACACCATTCCTGCTTAGGTCATTATCAGTATTCGGCCACGTAAATCGATAAAGATTCAGGTAGCCCCAGAAATTTTGAAACTAATAAACAAACAAAAATGGAAATACGGTTTGATTTAGAGCCACAAGCTTTAATCTTTAAAATTGACTCGTGTTTGAATCTGATTGAATGAAATTTCACGAAAGCTTTCGAAAGTTGGGAATTAGTTAGCAGGTTTGGTGTGTAATTTCGCACAGAACATCTCCAGTTCAGGCAAATAGAAGGGTACAAAAGCACCAAATATGCAAGCAATTTTCTTGTGGTGATTTTTAATAGCTTCTACTTTTAATTTAAGTGAAATCATCGAAAAAAAAGAAAAAGATTAAGACAAAAATTGATTTAAAAAAAGGCTCATTGCTGAGAATTTGGAAGTTCTAAAATTGTTCCATCTGTTGTTTAGGAGAAGATTGGTGCCCTCTCTCAAGTGATATAGGTTAAAATCCAACCGCTGCTATGTCGCACCTCATACTATTAACTTAAACCCTAAAATTACAATCTAATCTCAAACTATCATCATCTATCACACTATTAATGAAAGTTTATCCACCACTCACCCTTTTTATTTTTGGGAATTGCACCACTTACTCTTCCTTCATAAGAAGATAGGCATTGATCCTAAATAATAACTCAAAATTATGATTGAACCCATATGTTTTAAATTGTCTAGCTTCACTCAGTTGTTTGACTGTTGGAGTAATTTGTCATGACTATTAATTCTTGAATTGATTGTACATAATGTGCATGGTTAAATGATTAAATATTTCTATTTTCCTTTTTTATCCATGCCATTAGCACACTCAGTGGCGGGGCCAGAACCTTTATTCAAGGGGTGAAATAATATTAGTTTAGACGTATAAGGTGTTGATTTGTAGATTTCAAGAATAACTAAATATTTGCTATAGTAAACATGTAACTTGAGATTCATTATTTTTCAGATCATCCAATGGCATAAAATTACGCTTAAGAATACAAGATGCATATTCTAATTAACATATGAAATTGGCAAATAATTGTACATAATCGAATTGTCGATTGAATGTTTGGTTGGTCTGTAATTCATATGAAATGGACATGTAAGAAAAGTTAAATATAAATACCATTTGCTTAAAAAAAACAAATTACATTTAATAGAAAAGAAAAAATATAGCATCATGTAATATATATTAGTTCAAGGTCCAATACTGTGAAAATGAGAGGACAATTGTAAAGATTCCAAGAATTTTGTAGGGCAATTGTGAGGTTAGATGGAATACTATCAAAATTCAAGGGGAGCAAGAGTGGGATAATACTATAGATAATTTCTAAAATTTTTACAGGCTATTTTAAAGTTTCTAGAAAATTGAGAGGGGATGCAATTGCAGTCCTTCGGCTCCACGTTGCTCTGCCACTGAGTACACTTTTAGCAGTTAATTTCTGAACCCTTAATTTTGTGTAGTTCGTTGGTATTCATGAACTAGTTTGGTTGTTTTCTCCAATAAAAATAGTCTAGTGAGATAAATTTCCCGACCAATATAATTAATTTTTTTCCCTTCTGATTTAATTTATACTGAGGAACTTCAATCAGCGCTAGTTTTCGAACAGATTTAACCAGCTACTTTTTATGGTGAACCAGAAATGTACTAGGCCTACGTACATAAAAATCACTTGTTTTCCCCAGAACTAAAATTAATAGATAGATAAAATTGGAATTACAGTTTGATTTGCAGCCTCATGCTCTACTTTTGGCTAGCGTCCGCCGAAAGGCACAACAGTTTTTTTTTTTTTTTTTTTTTATAATAAACTAATTTTAACGTTCCCAAGTCAAATCAAATATCACTAAAATTTTTGATTTGGTAAGAATAGTCATATGTAATTTCTTTAAAATTTGTTGTGTTATCAAAATTCGATTTGCCTTTGATCTGCATATGATAGGTTCAAGCTTTCGCAAAGAATGTGACATGTTTGGTACGTACTTTCGCAAAGAACATGTCTAGTTCGGATAAAAGGAAAGATACAAAGACAAACGTAAGTAAACGGGATTGTAGCATTTTCTTGGTCAATTCCAATGCAGCAATTTAGTTGCCGTGATTTAGATCTCTTCTAGCTTTAGTTCAGGTGAAGTCGTACAGAAACAAGAAAAGGTAGGATAAATTGAACAAATACTTAGTGGTAAGGGGGAGATTCTGAATTGACTAAGTTCAGGGCTTAAAAGCTTATAGGAAAGCAAAGCAAATTTTAAAATCAATAAACATGACGTATATGATTCAAATTTGTATATTTGTATTAATAAATTTGACAATGAGATTTTCACAATTTAATGTGTGTAATAAGTTTTCAAGCGATATAAATTGCTCAAATTTACACCCCTGGTGTAAGTTGATTCTTAATAAATCTAGTGAATATTAACGTTGATACGATTGGAATTTTTATATTTGTATTAATTAATTTGATAATGAGATTTTCACAATTTAATTAGTGCAATATGTTAGCAGGTTTTATTGGCTAGTCAACCCAGCATTTTCTAGGATTAAAATGCTAAAAAAATGAAAATTGATAGAACCCTAATTTTTCAGAAGGCTAAACTAGAATTGAACTCATCATATGCATTTGTAAGTGCTGCATTTGTCCATACTTCATTCATGGAGAGGTGGCCTCTTGGAAAAGGCCTCCTTCATAAACAATTGTTTTCGTTGTTCAGCTTAGGTAGGGTTTTTTTTTTTTTTTTTTTGTGGATAAAACGCAATCTTCATTAACAAATTGCTGAAAATCATCCATTACAAATTGATCTACATCATTACCCTAATAATAGATTAAACATGCATGCACCAAATTCTAAACAAATGTAAAAAATACAAAAAAATTTAAAATGGTGTTCTAACTCATATATCACCACATCTCCTTTTTGCTAACGTTGCAATCGTCAAATTTATTAATCAACAGTTTTAAACTCCAATAATGATGATGAGATATGTCGAAATAGACCCAAGATCCAAAAAAAATTTCAGATCTGAAGTAAATTTAGATCTAACAATAAAAAAAAAGAAAAAACACAAAAATCTTCATAGGAATCCCTAGGAGAATAGAAAATTCTCATTAAAAATCCTTAGGAGAAATAGAAAACTCTCATTACGAAAATTTAGGAGAGACTTTATTAGAAAAACAATATAAGATAAAATGAAATTCATGGGAGGGAGACTTAAGAGGAGGCCTTTGAAAAAAGCATAAGAAGTAGAGAAAAATTGGAGAAGAGGAGAAGGAAAGAGAAGTTATTGAATCATAATTATGAAGAAAAGAGAAGTTCAATAGCTTTGGTAGGTTTATCTTAATGTATGTATTCTTTGACGCATATACTTCAAGTTACAAATCATTTTTTGCTCAAAAAACTCAAAATAATTCATACCGTATTTGAAAGTATTTGCATTTTAGTCTTGAACCACACCAAGGTAACCAGAATTCCTGTAGTTTATGATAAGAATTTGCCTGCTAGTCTGGTCTATTGCTTGTTTTCTTCAATTTTTAAAAATATTTTGCAGATGGTGCTCAAAAAAACAAAAGAAGAAGAAGAAGAAGAAGAAAACAAACACTCACCCGAATCTTGATTGTTGTTACATCCCAGTCTTAGCAATGTGATATTTGATTTTTGGGACATCAATTTTCTATAAGCATTTGTTTGTATTCTCTCCACTCTCCTGAGAATTTTAGGCATCGTGTAGATAGTAGTTGATGGGCTTTTAATATACGTACAAGTTAAAAAAAATTGAATTACACCCGTTCACTGCAAGTATACAGGTCAACTAGTAGTTTAGGATATATATCGGGTCGATCCCACAGGGAAGAGTAAACAATTACCGGTATTACTAAAGCTTCTCTATTATTTAAACTATCAATGAATTATAACAAATTTAACCTACTGAAATTATACAAAATAACAAATAAAAGCTCCTTAGGTTGTGGTATACCTAACTACTCATGCAAGTGCTATATTTGGATCATTGAGTACTACATCT